AGCACTAATGCTGCCAGTGTGTTCGGTGCTGTCTGCCGGGAGGAAATGCCGCGTGCTCCCGTGGCATAGCAATCCACAACAAATAGCTCTTCGTTTTTATGCTGTTTGGTTTTGGTCATTTTTGGTATGAAGTGCTCCTTTTCGGCACTCCTTTGGGAAGGGGCGATGTTTTGGTATGAATAAAGGCACCAGATTCATCGCGGTGGCGCTGCTGGCGCCCGCCGGGGCCCTGTGCGGGGACGCTGGGGACAGGGGGACAGCGCCTGCGTGCGCCTGCTTGGCTGGGAACGTGGCGTTCTCAGGGACTGCAACAAGTCGTTTTTCACGGGAAAAAGCACCAGCAAATCATCCTTTGAGTTACGAGAAAAGGGAAGAAAGACATAGCGCACTGTTAATTACTGGTACTGTGTTGATTTTCCATACGAATGTTTCAGATTTAGAGCTTAATCCATTATTTGCCTGCGGACAAGCTCCCTACAATAATCCGTCTTTCCTATGACAATGTATCCTAAGGTAGCGGAGCTTAGGAAAAGAGCAGATATGTGGAAATCCATCTGCAGGAACTGTGTGCAGCAGCCAGCACCCCGGAGGGAAGGAGCTGTGCTATGGGTACCCCATAGGGGTCTTTAACCAGGCAGTGGTCGGAGGCAGCGCGGTGTGCCGTGCAGTACGGGCATTGCGGGGAAGGGTTTGCAGGGAGCCACAGCAATTCCCTGCGGTTTGGTCGCTTCTTTGTGCTGTACAGGAAGACTTGGAAAATCCATGTGCTCCCAGCGAGGGAGCTTGCCGCTAGCGAGAGCCCTCACTAGCTCATGCGCTGGGTGCGTTGGGCCGGTTTGTGAAGGTCCGAGAGCTTCCTGGGGAGGCTGAGCAGCGCCACGAGCGCTCCGGTGCTCAGCGCGCGCGGCGAGCGCGAGCAGCTCGCTCAGGACCTACAGCTTTTGGGCAGAGGGTTGGAGATGCTCAGTAATGCCCCGTGGGCCGTGCTGACGCCGCAGCGCGGGGCTGCGCTCAGCTCCCTGCCGTGCGCCGTCCCTCTGCGCTGCTTCCTTTGCTGAGCGCCTGGGGGAGGCTCCCCGGCCAACGCGGCCCCTCGGCGCTGTGTTATCCTGCCTCCCTTCTCACGCTGCCGCCTCGCTGTCTGCCCGCAGGTGTTACCTGGAGGACGGAGCCTCGAAGGGCGCCTGGCTCAACCGCTCCAGCATTATTTTCGCTGGAAGCGATAAGTGGTCGGTAGATCCCCGAGTCTCCATCGCCACAGCAAACAGGAGGGAGTACAGCCTGCAGATCCAGGACGTGGACGTGACCGACGACGGGCCCTACACCTGCTCGGTGCAAACCCAGCACACTCCCAGGACCATGCAGGTGCACTTAATTGTACAAGGTATGTGTGTTAACCTGAGTGCAAATCCCTGGTGAAACGTGCCTAAAAAAAGCCAGGTTTACAGATGGGGAAAGTCTACTAAGTCTGTCTGTTGGGATATATATTTTCTGTCATAAAGATTCTTCCCCTGATACGCTACTCCCTTTCTTTGACCCTCTTTTTTCCTTATTCCCTCTGCTGAGTGTGATACGTATAAAACAACGTTGCCTCAGATGAGAAATGCAATAGGGCCGGGACAGGCACCCGTGCAGCTGCCGGGCCAGCACCGGGTCCCACTCGGGCTGTCCCGGGGTGGCGGCTGCGCAGGAAGTGTTTAAAAAATGCAACGGGTCGTTGGAGCTTCTGGTGTGCGCCGTTAAAATCATTGTTACAAAACAATAATTAACCCATCAGCTTAAGAAAAAACAGAACAAAGAAAGCAGTTTCTAAAAATCAGAAATGAACCATTGATTAAAACCAAAATAAACAGTGAATGCGACAACATAAGCTGCTTTTGCTGCAGCATACAAATGCATAGTTTTGTTTTCTTCCAGACAGCAGTTTTCTCCGAGAAATATTATCCTAGATTGCAATACCATTAATAAAAAACATCCGTCTATTGCCACGGGATGCTTCCCTGTGAGGAGCACCGGAGAGCAAGGGCGTAAGTTTGTATTTATTGTGTTATTCCAGGGTGAGCAATCCTTAACTTTGATTGTCTTTGTAATAGCTAATGCCCTCACACAAGGGGCTAGGAAACAAAGCTGCAAATTAATTGCACACATAAAATATATAAACAGAAGCCTATAATTAATTAAGCTAACTACAAGAACTTACAGAAATAATGACTCAATAGTTAAAAATATGCACAATTATTAAGCGATTGCGTTTATACCTTCAGAAATGCAAAGAATAACCGCAGGCTTTAATTTGTCGGTGTTTGGTGTGCTCGTCATTACCATTTTCTTGTGCATTCTCGATGAGCACGGGGCGATGAACGCCGCAGCACGGAGCGCACGCAGCCCCCCGCGGCTCTCGTGTGCGGTGCCTTTGGCCTGGGGTGCGCGGGGCGGCCGCGCGGATCCCGGGGATCCAGAGCGCAGCCGGGCGCCTCCCCGGGCGCGGGGATGTCCCCCCAGCAGGAGCTGTCCCTGGCGGCGGCGGTGCCGTGCCCGGCCCCGGGCACCCGGCGCCTTCCCGGCTCCCTGCGCTGCTGCTGGCGCCGGCAGCTCCCCATTGTGCTACGAGCGATACAGGAA